TGGGGTAAGGGATTTGGTTCCTTTGATTCCAGGAGATTCAGTGCGTATTAAACATGATAAAGAATCTGATTGGTCAATTAAGGGTATTGTTCAATCCAAGCATGATGCTCCTAGGTCATATATTGTAAAAACAGATAGGGGACTATATAGACGCAATAGACGTCATATAATGCCAGATAAGACAGATGTGAAGTTTCATGATAATCCTTCTCACACTCTTGAAAAGTCATATCTGCCTCAAGTTCCTGTTGTACCAATTATAGATCCACCCACTAATTGTGATAATAAACAGCCAAGTGATGCACCACTTCCAGTTACACAAGTGCAATCACCTGGTAAAATTAAACCTGACATTAGTGTGTGTCCTACTGACAGTAAACCAGTCACTCGTGCCAGTAGAGGCCTTATAATAAAAAGACCTGCAAGATATTGTAGTGATTAGAAACAGATTTATTTGATTAATACAGTGATATAATATTAACACTTACTTGAAACGTTTTAAACTAAAATGATTGTTCATTTTTGGAAAAAAGGAAGATGTCATAATATATAGTCTTAACAATTATGTAAGCATTCATCAGACTGTACCATGTGCTTTTGTTGTTATGATTATTATGTAAATAGGTCACGTGACCAGATATGATGCAACAATAAATCGATACTTAGAAGTCACTGATCTATGAGTTCAGTTCACAGGCCATGCAAACAGTCTTACAAAACGATATCTATTAAAAGTATTGTAAAGATCTTGTCACATGTACACATATACTAGTATTTACAAATAAAGGGTAGCGACCACAAGCCAAAGCTAGATCTAAATTAAAGCTGGGTTGTGTTGTGTAACATGCCGTGTACGTAACGTAACGTACAGAATAGAATGGTAAATAAATACTGAACAAATGAAAGAATGAATAAATTGAACAAATGCTTGTGTTTATAAATGATATACGCTTTTAAATAATTCATTTCACAACGTTTTTAATTATTTAACGCAATTGGTTTCGGGGACTTGCCAGCCCAAGGGACGTCCCAAGAAATATTTTAAATTGTTAATTGAAATAGAACCAAACAGATGTGTACACATTCGAAAGAACATGTGTTTCATCAATATTACGACTATTCCAGATATTTACTCGTCAATGTTGTAAAAATCATTCGGAGTATGGGATGTCTTAGCATTGTTTTCAATAACTTTCAATAACTTCGTATTGGACCAGAACTGGCTTAAAACAAAATTCCTACAAAGGACTGATTTAGCCATTGCCCAGGTTATGTATAGGTGCCTGACACAGTGTAGCAATGTACAGTGTTTATGTATACATGTAGGAGCTTGAAACAATGTAGTAACTAATATATTCTATGTAACATGTAAAGGTATGTACCCCGCTTACCCCGCTTACCCCATGGTATGTGTAGGAGCTGTCTCACAGTGTAGCAATGTAGAGAATACATGTAAAGGTATGTACCCCGCTTACCCCGCTTACCCCATGGTATGTGTAGGAGCTGTCTCACAGTGTAGCAATGTAGAGTATACAGGTAAGGATATGTACCCCGTTTACCCCGCTTTCCAGCCTATGTATAGGTGCTTGACACAGTGTAGCAATGTGTAGCAATGTAGAGTATACATGTAAAGGTATGCACCCCGCTTACCCCGCTTACCCCACTCCCATGGTATGTGTAGAAGCTGCCTCACAGTGTAGCAATGTAGAGTATACAGGTAAGGATATGTACCCCGTTTACCCCGCTTTCCAGCCTATGTATAGGTGCTTGACACAGTGTAGCAATGTGTAGCAATGTAGAGTATACATGTAAAGGTATGCACCCCGCTTACCCCGCTTACCCCACTCCCATGGTATGTGTAGAAGCTGCCTCACAGTGTAGCAATGTAGAGTTTACAGGTAAGGATATGTACCCCGTTTACCCCGCTTTCCAGCCTATGTATAGGTGCTTGACACAGTGTAGCAATGTGTAGCAATGTAGAGTATACATGTAAAGGTATGCACCCCGCTTACCCCGCTTACCCCACTCCCATTGTATGTGTAGAAGCTGCCTCACAGTGTAGCAATGTAGAGTTTACAGGTAAGGATATGTACCCCGTTTACCCCGCTTTCCAGCCTATGTATAGGTGCTTGACACAGTGTAGCAATGTGTAGCAATGTAGAGTATACATGTAAAGGTATGCACCCCGCTTACCCCGCTTACCCCACTCCCATGGTATGTGTAGAAGCTGCCTCACAGTGTAGCAATGTAGAGTTTACAGGTAAGGATATGTACCCCGTTTACCCCGCTTTCCAGCCTATGTATAGGTGCTTGACACAGTGTAGCAATGTGTAGCAATGTAGAGTATACATGTAAAGGTATGCACCCCGCTTACCCCGCTTACCCCACCTCCATGGTATGTGTAGAAGCTGCCTCACAGTGTAGCAATGTAGAGTTTACAGGTAAGGATATGTACCCCGTTTACCCCGCTTTCCAGCCTATGTATAGGTGCTTGACACAGTGTAGCAATGTGTAGCAATGTAGAGTATACATGTTGCATGGTTAGAAATGGCTAAGTGCCGTGACATTTTAGCTCGTGACTGCTTACATAGAACCGCAGCCCAGAAATCCATTCAGGCAGAGTTCTATTCTGTTGTAGTTATCCCGTTCCAGGACTTTAAAGTCCTGGAACGGGATAATGTTGTAGTACCATTTTGTGATATGATACATTCACTATACTATATTTTGTGTGTATATTACATGTAAAAAAGAATAAATCATTTGCCCCAGTTTTTCACAATTTTCCAGAGAACACCTTTTCATCCAAGGAAAAATTGTTTACTCCATGTAACTTGAAAAACATTTGTTCCAGTATCTTAGGTTATCATAGAATATGTTTATTGTTCATTTTCTACAGAATTCTCAAAACATATTTGTTCCTCAATAAACTCTTTGTAGAGTTATAGGAGAATACTTTTCACAATTCAAATTGCAATACAGTATCCTTAAAAAAAGTTTATCATAACTTTCTCCAGAAATGAAGTTTTTCATTTCAGAATAAAAGCATGCAGAGAAAATAGTTGAGTAATGAGAAGTATTGTTCTATAGTGACAACCAGATGAAAAGCTTTGAACAAGTATTAACCATTGTGATTTAAACAGTCTTTGAAAATACAAACATTTAAAGTGTTCACTGAGAGTGAGAATATATCTACATTCCTGCGAAAGCTATGTGGATTTTGATTTCAAAATCTTACATGGCTCTCGAAGTGAGTAATCTAAGACTTCATTTGGGAATAAGGGTTTTGGAGAAGTTTGCTGATGATAGAAATGAATGAAGAAATGAGAGTAATGTATCAATAAAAGATATTTTTTAAGATTTTGCGATTCAAAAAAATTATTGAGTGTTCTTTGGGAACAACTCTTAAGTGTTCATGGTTTCCATTTAAGGAGAAAAGTGTGCCAAGGGAAACAATCACAAATTCAGAGTATTAAGTGTATTGGTGACAATCACACTTTGATTTCTCAAAAACATGTACATTGTAGTTCAATATGAATTTAGTGTACTTTGAGAATAACTGGATAATTTATGAAAGTACATACACGTCATTCTATCTATAAGGTATAATTTAAAATTGCTCACGGGCTGCCACCATATAAAGTATAAACAAGAAAATAATTTACTTTAGAATATTTATTTTTACTATTCTTATTTCTACCATCTACAAAGAAAACCTTTTCATACAAAAGGAATGTCCACGGTGACAAAACTTTTTACATATGAGATTAAGCATGTGTTTCTGGTCATAATACAGGAAAGTATATTATGCGAACATTTAAACACAACAAGTGCAGTGTTCATGAAAGGACAGCCCCACTCTTGTCACTTTTGGGACCTCCTGTATGGCACTGGATATACATATATGTATAACTTTCAGGAGTTGTATATGATTGGTCTGTCAATATATCAATTATTACATATTTGACCAAAAAGTAGGGGGGGGGGGGGGGGGGGGTTCACAGAGCCTTGTAGCTAGACAAGTCAAGAGTTCATATTTTTTGACTCACAATGTTAAACTAGCAATATACAGGGTGTCCATAAAGACTCCTACAATTACATGTACTGTACAATATAAAGCCTGTGTAAAAAGACTCTGAACACCCTGTAAATTAACCTTTTAAGATTATCCAATGAAACTCCCCACGCATATAACCTAATTTATAAAAAAATATCAATTTCTGAAGTTATGTAAACGTCTTTGACAGGAAAAGTTTCTTTCCAGAAGCAAGTAAGCAAGACATACTCAGACTTTCTTCACAGTTCTAGGTAACTAATATAGCAGTATGTAACAGTTTAATACTGAGTGTTTATAACATGACTTGTATGAACTCCCATTCAAATGCACTGTTCATGAGGCTCAGTTGACTAAAATGGAGAAAAGGCTCTCTGCAATGATGTCATTTGACTGCAATGATGTCATTTGACTGCAGTGATGTGACATCATTTTCATCATGTTATAAACTTCTAGGGTGTGTGATACAAACCAGTCTATGTGATACACCACACACCCTATTTTTCAACCTATATTCCCTAAATATATTATACTACATTATTTATTTACAATTACATTAATACAATTAACCCAAACTCATCCAATAAGTTGTTGATTATTTGGACAGTTCTTGCTCTGCAATTAATGGAGGCTACTAACTTGCCTAATAATTAATAGCCCTGGAAGTACATGTACAAACCACTTAATGATTGGAGAATTCAAATGTTATACCCTATGTTCCAAAGCTTTTCTGTGTGTAGTTGTGGAACAGAGGGTATAAGTTGTGTTTCAAATATAATTTCCTTCAAATTTAACTATTCAATCACACATCATGATCTATTGAAATAGCTCACAAAAATCCTGGAAAATCTTGGGTATTGCACTATCTTCACATGATTACAGTATAATCACTTCCAACATTCTGATACATGTACATGAAAATTGCTCATTTAAATCGCCCAACAGTGTAATATCAAATGGCATAAAATTGTACCCCACTGATTTTAATATATCACAATACATGCAATAAGCTTTGCAACATAATATGCATTTCAGAAAAATATATTGAATACATACGATATATGAACATGTATATATAGAAACATTGGAATCTCTTGAATAACTAGAAAGCAAACATTCTCTGTTAAGCATGAGTCAAAGAAACACTTGAATAAGAGAAGTTTGACTGATGATATCAAGGATAATCTATTTATCATGTTTATAGCAGTAGCAGCCCATGCGACCACAAGTATGAATACTGAGCTTGAAAATGCAATTACTTCATTCATGCTTCTGTATCATTCACGTTCTTAATTAGATTTATCCCTTACAGCCTCTCTTATCTCATCAATTAGATTCTCATTAATCTTATTTCCAGGAGTAAGAGTAATATCTAGAAGAGTCCCGCTATTCTTTTTCACTCCCTGCAAAATTGCATTGCCCCCTTCATCTGACATGTTATTCCCTTCTAAGTCCACACAACGCAGTTTATTATTTGTTGCCAATAATCCTCCTATAATGTCTGCCCCCTTATCTCCAAGGCGATTATAGTCTAGAGATAATGTATGCACTGTCTTATGATTTTTAAGTGTTTCAGCCAGCTGACTCCAACCATCATGAGTTACCTTCCGGTTCCCAGACAAATTCAAAGTCGTAATTTTTAGAAAATCAAACTCCAAAAGTCTTTGAATATCTGAGATTGCTTCATCATCAATTTTCGTATCACCTAAGTCTAATCTGTTAAGCTTTAGTTGAATCTGAGCTATTTTATTCCGAGGGGAGAGAATTTCATCTCTATCCATGAGAATTGGGGACTCTGATCGAATAGCATTGCTCATAGCATCTGACACTAGATCTGATGCTACTGTTTCAATCGTCCTTGCTGATCCCATATTGCGGTTTTCATTGTCTCTGGTTACATCATTAGTGCCTGATGAGATATCCTTTAAGCCATTCACAATGTTCCGGACACCTTCACACCCCAATGGATTCCCATGTAACCTGAAACAGTCAGAGCTTAACATTAAATCTCCATGGAAAATAATAGAACACAAAAGAAAAGAACTTTCAAATGTAATTTCGTGTAAAAGAGGGTCATTGAGGATCTTACATTAGTACCTATGCAAGTGTTTGCTTTGTAATGACTCAATCAACACTATGAAAGCAAGTTAAAATGACATGGAAATGATTATGTCATGGAAAACTAAGAGGACACTGAGGATAATAATGATTTTCTAAAAAGTATAAAAATGTTAAACAAACGTTTTCAATGATTTGCAAACCAAAATATTAATTTGTAGTCTCCAACTTTGACCAACTTTGTTTTCTAGTTTGACCACCTTTGTTTTTAACTTTTTCTGACCAAGGGAGTTTTGTGTGTCACTCAACTGTCAATTATGAACTCCTTACAACTTGTTGATTTTCAAAAACAAATTTCATCAATTTGAAAGGAGACAAAGAAAGTGTGTTTCACCTTTTTTAAACTAAAATATCTTGAAAATAGAATAATGAAAATAATAAAAATAGTAACAGAAAAATATATAGGAGGCCCTAATAAATAATATAATGCCATTCACAAAATGTACACAATGGCATTCACAAAATGTATATGAGTCCTCCTGTTGGGCCTCCAAATGACTGTACACATATGTCACTTACAATAACATTTTGATGGTTGGCTTGTCCTTGAATATCTCCACCACACTCTTGGCTCCATTGGCTCCTATGTTATTACAATTCAAGTTCAGCATCTAAATAAAACAGAACACATAGACAGATACTTGTTCAAATAGCCAAATTCAGCATTAGAAAACATATTTACATAATTAATGAAGTATTGAAATACATGTAGTTTTCAATCCAGGAACTAATTTCATGAGAAAATAAGATCATAATTTGGGCACATAAAATATTATATGTTTCATGAAACTTTGCTTTAATCTTACAAGGGAGGAATCATTAACCATTAACATGTTTTTGATTTTAAATGGTCCAATAACAGTCCTACACCTACTCTGAATGTAGAGGGTGACTCTTTGATTGCCTCAGCCAGCTTAAACATCTTAGTATCATCTATGTTATCATTGCGTAGCATCAACGTCTGCATATCATCATGATCTCTAATGTACTCAGCCAACTCATTCACCTGAATCATAGACATTAATGGTGATCTAGATTTTTCAACCTGTGTTGTAATCAGTTGCTGATTTGCAAAACAGGAAGCATTCCTAATGAATCTTTCAAACAGTTAAGCTGGAAACTACATGTAATAGAAAAGACATTAGAATAAGATGCAAAATCCAAAATGGGCAATTATTTTGTAAGAAATTGGCTAAAACATTCCTTCAAATCCATTTATCCATGAAATAATTTGGCTGAATTGGTTCTTGATTTTTATGAATCAATCCTTTAAACAGTTTGGCTGAAAATGCTTGGATGAGACTTTTAAGACAAACTCCAAAATATGGCCACATCTACATTAAATTCATTGGACAGGTTTGGCTTCATCTGAAGCAGTGATAAAGTGAACTGAGTTGTCATGTATATGTACCTGGTAGTCATCAAGTGCAAGACTGGTGAGGCTGACATCTTCATTGTCTGTGATGAGTGGTATGATACTCCCTGTGTGGACTCTTCGAGGCTCCATACCAACTGTATTCAGATACGCCTCATCATCATCACTCTCAGCTTGGTGCTCAGCAGCTGTGTCATCTTGTGTTTCAGCAGCTGTGTCATCTTGTGTCTCAGCAGCTGTGTCATCTTGTGTCTCAGCAGCTGTGTCATCTTCAGGCTTGTCTTCATCCTTTGTTGTTTCAACTAGCTTATCCTCTTCAGTAGCAGACTGGGGCTCTAAAACAATTTGATGATGATTCTAATTTAATCTAATATATTTCGATCATCAAGTACAATTTCATTCAACAACTGCAGTTATACTTATTGAAATACAATCAATTTACAAAGTTAACTTCTTAAGTCTAACAAAATCAATGAGCTGGGTACATATATTTGCTAGAGACGGCAAAATCATTCAAAATTATTTTTACCAGCATCAACATAATTTCTACTATCATCATCTTCATCTTGATGTTTTCTATCATCTGCATCATTACTATTTCTATCATCTTCATCACTGTGTTTGCCATCTTTATCTTTAGCATTGTCATCTTCTTTGATGTTATTATCATCGGTATCATCAGTAGATTTGTTGTTTTGATCTGACCCAGAGGGATGGGAATCAGAATCTAGCAAGAGAAATAAGTGATTGGGTGAAAAAAGAATTAATTGAAAGCAATCTGTCTGATTTGTTAAAGAGTGCACAGAAGTGACTATTAAATGTAGTGTACTATTACAGAAAACATAAATCATTAATCAATCTATCATTAAATAATTGGTTTTCATTTCAACTGTTTATGATAACACGTGCATACACAAATACAGAAAGATCAAATTAAAAAAGAAATTACAATTTGAATAAGGTACATTAACCATGTGGAACAAACAGGTAACATAGAACAGGTAACAAGAACCATTGAGCAAACAAGTAATTAAGCAGTACAATTGAAAATTAGATTGAAGATAACATACAAGCACTGTTGAACAAACATGTAACAAGCACTGTTGAACAAGCAGATTACAAGTACCATTGAATAAATAGGTAACAAATCCAACTCAACAAACAGATTACAAGCACTGATGAACAAACAGATTACAAGCACCGTTGAACAAGCAGATTACAAGCACCATTGAATAAATAGGTAACAAATCCAACTGAACAAACATATTACAAGCACTAATGAACAAACAGGTAACAAGCACTGTTGAACAAGCAGATTACAAGTACCATTGAATAAATAGGTAACAAATCCAACTCAACAAACAGATTACAAGCACTGATGAACAAACAGATTACAAGCACCGTTGAACAAGCAGATTACAAGCACCATTGAATAAATAGGTAACAAATCCAACTGAACAAACAGATTACAAGCACTGATGAACAAACAGGTAACAAGCACTGTTGAACAAGCAGATTACAAGTACCATTGAATAAATAGGTAACAAATCCAACTGAACAAACAGATTACGAGCACTGATGAACAAACAGATTACAAGCATTGTTGAACAAACAGGTTACAAGCAGCATCAAACAAACATGTAGAACAAGCACTGCAGAAAAAGAGGTATAAAAGAGACACAGTCAAGTAAACCATACAATAAAACGAATACAGTATTATAAATATCATGCAGTAGCAGTGGTTGCTTTAAACAAGAGTAGAAATAGTGAGTTTAAGGGGCAATTCAATGCCTTTGACTGTTCCTTTTAATTGACTCCTCATTCAGCTGAAACATTAAAAATAGTTTTACACCCTGCATGATATTTGAACTAAACAACATCACAATTTTAGGGAACTAAACAACATCACAATTTTAGGGAACTAAACAACATCACAATTTTAGGGATCATTAGATAGTAGAGGTGGAGTGGTGTAACCAATTTTCTTTTATAAAATAGGTAGACTTGTAATCATCAGGGAGTACTAGTATACCACAGGATTTTTGTTAAAACCAAACTTTATTTTTTCCTTTCCTTAACCAAGTCAAAAAAAATTCATTGCTAAAAAAGGCTATCACACTCTATACTACCCCTACTATTAGGTCTAATGCCTTGCTACTTGTAACTCTGGAAGACATCAAATGATATTCAGTTTTTGCATTGCTGACCATGCAAACCTCAAAATCATTGTTAAGTTTTCTTGTTGTGTTTTGTATCATTATCTTCATTATTTCACTTTTGACAAATGTGCTAACATATACTGTATCTGTAAGAACTCATTGTATATGCAAGAACTCATTGTATATGTAAGAACTCATTACATCTTTGTAAGAACTCATTGTATATGCAATAACTCATTGTATATGTAAGAACTCATTGTATATGTAAGAACTATAACGTGGATCATATGCCCCTTGGGGTGTCTTCCACTATAGTGATTGTACTTGTATTATTTGGAATTTAGGAAATAAATAAAACAAACAAACAAGATACGACGTCAGATACTGTACATCACGGCGTAACATTGTAATTGTTCATTTTACCGACAAAATGCAAAGATTTACGCGATAAATATGCGCAATGCTCCTCCAAGTTATTGCAAAAGTTTTAATGTTCGTGGAATCTTCTTAAAAACTTCAAATTTTGTTCAGATTAATCTGTGCTTCAATACAATTCTATATTCAAAAAGGTTTTGTCACGACATACAGAATTAGAATCACCAGAAAGTAGACATTTCAAACCCTACCCGTTTTCTTCTTTGTCGCGCTTATTTTAACTCGAATATTAAGTTTTATTTATTTAAAGCAATGAATAATAAAGGAGAACATATAATACGCTAACGGCGTAACGTCTTATTTTGTAAAGGCTTCACTTGGGGTTGCGGTGATAAAATGATGTCTATCTCAATATATACTGGTTCAAATTAAATGAAATTAATTGTATGTTGTAAGGGGTATATTTAAAAGAACATGCTGAAACATTGGAAAGTTTTGAATGTGTATCCCTTAATTAGAAATATTTGAACTCAAAAAATGAAACGTAATTTTGTGAATTTTTCACATGGCTTCACTTCATATTTCTTTCAATTTATGCTTCTTACAGACTGAATTTTAATCGAAATGATATAGTTTTTTGATAAAAATATAGAATATGATATGCCTTTCATGAATCAAAAAAGAATAATTCACCTTTCAAACGATTTAATGTTTAATTGATCAAAATATATATCTTATTGGTACGAAATTCTGCCTGTCCACACTTTTTTTGCATAAATATAAGCGTTACGTTAGCATTGTTATATTATGACGTCATCACACAGAATCTGTTTGTCTTTTCCAAAATAGTGAATTTAAATATTGAGAAAATTTGAGAAAGATCCGTTAAGAAAAGAAAAAGTTATCTTCATTTTTCTTTTAAAATTAAAATCATTTTTCTTCAAAATGTTACAGTCCACACCCAGTTTTAGCATAGAAAGTCGCATAATACGGCTTGCGTGATTCTCATTTAAAAAGTCCCAAATCAGTTATTTGGAATTCTGATAGGCAAAATATTTCATGGACATACGTGTTCAACTGATGACGAAAAATTGTAGAAAAATATGATTTTGCTGTCGAGATATTGCGGTTTTAAAAGTAAGTACGCATGTAAAAATGCAGTAAAATGCCGCGATGTACATTATCTGACGTCGTATCACAAACAAACTCATTACATCTTTGTAAGAACTCACTGTGTTTGTGAGAGCTCATTGTATATGCAAGAAGTCATTGTATATGTAAGAACTCATTACATCTTTTTGAGAACTTATTGTATATGCAAGAAGTCATTGTATATGTAAGAACTCATTACATCTTTTAAAGAACTCATTGTATTTGTGAGAACTCATTGTATATGCAAGAACTCATTGTGTATGTAGGAACTCATTACATCTTTTTAAGAACTCATTGTATTTGTGAGAACTCATTATATTTGCAATAACTCATTGTATTTGTGAGACCTCATTGTATATGCAAGAACTCATTGTGTATGTGAGAACTCATTACATCTTTGTAAGAACTCATTGTATTTGTGAGAACTCATTAATAGCTAGGGCAAAAATGGATTGTAATTCTTAGAAACAAATATGTTCTAATAAATCTTGATGATTCTGAGGGTTGTGTTGGTTTGCAACCCGTTTGATTACATTAGGCTGCCTTCCAGTACACCAAAGGCATTTTTGAAACACTACATCCAACAATATCAACATATTATTACACTGAAGCATTCTCAATATGAAAATAACTAACTTTATCAACACAAATAAATATTTGCCACTATACCATTGTACCCTATGCTATAGAGGAGAGTAAAGTGTTAATTAACAGAAATATATATCACGTAATCGCACATATGATATTATTTGATAAAAACATATACACACGCTGGTACATAAAGTATGTAAGGCAAAAGAATGAATGTCAATGATAACTGATAAAAAGTAAAGTAAATAGAAAGCAAATAAATGAATAAAACCCAAACTATACCTGTCTTACTTAACATATAAATACACTCACCTTTTTGTAGAACCTTCTCCATTTCAGCAGCAACTTCTTGATTTAGTGTATTTTCATGTGTAGTAACTTCATCATCTTTTGATGAATCCTCTTCTTTTTGATCATGTTCCTTATCATTAGTATCCTCGTCGTCAGAGTCTTCCTCTTTTTGCTTTGGTGTTTTATCCTCATCTTCAGAACTAGAGGAGGAACTAGAGGAAGATGAGGAACTAGAGGAAGTAGATGAGGATACACTTCTAGCATCATCATTATCATCATTGTTATCATCATTGTTCTGCTCAACTTTATCATGATCCTCATCATCAACCTCTTCAGCCTCTGATAGTGATACAGGTTCAGCAGTCTGCTTTACTGGTTCAGATTCTGAAAATAAATAACATGAATTATCAGAATAGTACCATGGGTACTGGGCTCACATGGCGTTAATGCTTTCAAAAGACTAATTCTTATGTATAATTTCAAGCAAAATGATGGAACATTTTAGACAACCAGTGAGTGCCAAAAAACATGATTCTTCATCATGAAAAGTCGTGGCAATTTCGAAATCTTTCGAGATGACAAAACTACTAGACGTCACATTAGTCTTAACAAGTACTCTAACCCGTCAGTGTTCAATTTCAACCAAATCAATGCAATGGATTTATAACACAAAAAGTGATATTTCCACAATAAAAGTCACAGGAATCCATTTAAAATCTTAGCGAAAACTGATAACATGACATTTTAGCAATAAAAGAGGCAACCATTTTTTATATTCGCCAAATATTTTTCTAGGCATTCTAAAATTCTAGGCCTTATTGTTAATCATGTCATTGTCATTGTCATTTGTAACATACAATGTGATACTTCGACAATAAAAGCGGTAGCCATTTTGAATTTTTGTGACTTTGTTGAAACTTGGACACATCACTGCTAACTCATAAGCTAAGGTACCTTTATAATCTTAAGCAAATTGATGGAATACTTTTGGAGTTGACCAACATGATTTTCAGCAATCGAAATGATAACAGACATTCATGATTACAATAGTTTAAATGAAATATGGGGAAACAGAGAATTTATCTTAGATCTAACCTTCTAATATCTCATCATTCTCTTCAGCCTGCTTTTCTTTTTCCTCATCTTCAAAAGCTTCATCATCATAGTTATTCTCTGCCTTGTTATCACCATCATTAGCTTCTTCATCTTCAAAATCATCGTCAGAGTAGTCTGTAACAGTATCATCAACACATTCAACTATCAGCATAAGGGACATATCTCACACAGTAATTACAAAGTACAATTTGCACCCACATAAGAGCAACCAGGTGAATATCTTGAAGTGACTGAAGTTTTGATATTATGACCAGTTTCAAACATGTGTAAGATTATATTGATAAGGCAAATCAAACATCAAAATGTCTCACATCAAAACGAACCTTATAATGACCTTGCAATGTATTTAATATAAAATGAAATAAATTTGAAAACACCAATAAATGTTCATAGCTCATAGAAATAATGTTTTCTGATTGGACATTTGAGAATCAAAATTTCTTTAAAGTGTTTTAAAAGTACAAGTGTGTAGAAGTAAATTTTATTCAGTACATGGTATGAAAAAGATATTCGACATATTCAAATTTCACAGAAATCTGATTAAATATATTTCTACAGGCAGTCACCTGATAAGTGCATCAGTGAGAAAGGTGGCGCAGTAAGCAAACACAATGAAGAGAAGCATAAAACAGTAAAATCTGTGTTGAGGTGAAATATGTTTGGTATCTTAAATTATAGTATGTTCCATGGAAGTGTTCCACTTTCAATGTTTTACTATACTTGCAGTATGAGGTATATAACAATGTGATCCGTGAGGGCTATACATGTATGTACCTAATTAAAGGTGAACAACTGAACATAATGTGTCCTAGATTGGATCACCCCTAGCATAGTCATCAGTGAATAGCAACGGTGTCAGAAAAACCTGAGACATTCTCAATATATCTATAATTCACCACTGCTTGAGGTATCAGATTCAAAGCTTCCTGATCCACTTCCAGAGTCACTGCTACTCGACTCAGATCCACTTTCCACAGAAAGCAAGGACTTGGGAGGATTTAAAACAACAAGACTGCCACCTTTTGAGAAGAATGTGCTCTTACTTTTAGATGCCTGGGATTCTGTATCACTGTCCTGCACAGGGACTAAGATATCACTGGGACCTAGAATAGAACAGGTTAGTTCAATCCTTGTTAGTTGTAAGCACTATACTAACTCAGTATTATGTTTGAAAAATGTTAACACAACAAACCAGGTTTTGCAAGATCTGAAAAACATTATTATTCCAATGTTAAGTTTTAGCCAAATCTAAAAGATATTGTTAATCATTAGTAAAGAAAGTTGAGTTGAATCTGCAAGTCATACCAAAAGATTATATCACTAGAAAAACAGCAACTCCACGGAGTAGCAAATCCCACCGAACAAAACATGTTTTGGTAAATAACGGCCATATAAAATTTGAGCCAAATCCATCCACTGGTATTAGAATTATCAAAGATTGTGTTTTTATGAAACATGGTTGCCATTTTGAAATTCAGCTGTCATCTTTAGATTTCTCCTTTAGCAGAGCTCCTATGTCCAAAGGCATCAGAATATACATTTAATCCAAATCCGTCAACTGGTACTTTAGTCATCAAAGGTTACATTCTTTTATGAAAAGTGGCGGCCATTTATAAATTTAGCTGCCATCTTGAAAATCCCTTTCTCAAACAGAGCTCCAATGTCCCTAGGCATCAGCATGTAAAATTTGAACCAAATCCATTCAATTGTATTTGAGCTATCAAAGATAATGTTTTTTTACGAAAAATGGCTGCCATTTTGAGATATGGTGGCCATCTTGAAAATGTCTTCTTGAGCAAGGCTCCTTTGTACCCAGGCGACAACATATAAAATTTGATCCAAATCCATTCTATGGTACTTGAGTTATCAAAGATAACGTTTTTTTACAAAAAATGGCCGCCATTTTGAAATATGGTGGCCATCTTGAAAATGTCTTCTTCAGCAAGGCTCCTTTGTACCTGGGCAACAGCATATAAAATTTGAACCAAATCCATCCACTAGTATCTGAGTAATCAAAGATTATATTTTTTCCGAAAAATGGCCGCCATTTTGAATTAAGTGGCCATATTGAAAATTTCTTCTCGAGCAGAGGTCCTACACCCATAAGGCATAAGCCTATAAAATTTGAATGAAATCCGTCAACCGGTATTTGAGTTATTGCCCGGACACACGAACGGACGGACGAACGGACGGACGAACGGACGGCTTTTCTATATCCCCCTCGAACTTCGTTCGGTGGGATAACAAAACACAATGCCTAAACAAAGACAAAGTATATAGACAACTCCTAAAAAGCAAGGACAATGCCTAAACAAGTGAGGGCAATGTCTAATCATTAAGGGCAATGCCTAGACAAGCAAGGTCAACGATCAGACGAGCAAGGGAAAGTTGAAATGTGTACATTATGTACCTTCTTGTTCTTTTTCTTCCTCATTCCCCTCTCCTCTTATCTCAGTTGTCTCTTCATCTTTCTCTTCTTCATTATTTTTCTGAGCTTCATCATTCTCTACCTCTTGTTTCTCTTCATCATCTTGTTTTGTGTCATCCATAATATCTTCTTCCTCCTTCCTCTGGGCATCTTCTTCTTTTTGTTTCTTTTTACGAAATTTTCTGGATTCGGACATTCCTTTCTCGACTTGGCATCTTAAATGTTCAATAAAAAATTATCTCATTGTGCAAATAAGAAACAAAATCACTTAATAGTAATGATATTTTATAAGCGAAAGAAAGATGCATAAAAAAGTTGATTTTCATGTGCTTTTAAATCCTCTTTTAACATACCTGTAACAAGGTGCAGCACCTTCAACGGCTATAAACTTGAAGTGGCCCTGCTTGCCACCAATCTTTGTCCCCTTTCTGTGTTTGTACTCACAGCATGTGCTGATCCTGGCATCCATTACACCATCGACATAAATAGACAGACTGAAAGGGTAGCCTCTGTGACGTCTACTAAGGAATGTGAAGTCACCTAAAAATACAAACAAAAATGTAGGAACATCTAGAGGTTCATCTTAATTTGGAGAAAGTTCATCTATGAATTTTGGGGTATTTTGGTAGCTATGGTACATGTTCTTCAAGTTGCATCCTGACCTTGGTTAAAACCAAAAGACTATAACAAAGGCACAAAATCACTTACTGCCAGGCAAAATAAGCTCTCTGAACACAGGAAGTGTGCTGCCCCCACAATGCTGCTGCTCAACATGTACGTCCTGTCTTGGATCAAACTGTTCACGCTGCAAGTGGATGTTACTACCCAGGTAATGTAGCGTCACCTTGCAGAATGACTGCACCCGTGTCTGATACATCATAGCAGGCTCCTGTCTGTGCAACATCAAAGAACCCTACACAAACAGAACAAACCCAGGATTTACATTTACAGTTAATACTACAATAATTCAAGTTAATTTTGTTCATTTTGGTTAATGTTGGTATTTGGTTAGGTGCTCAGGGACTTGGTTACGATTAAAAATTAATATTTGATTGTGTTTATCCTATGAGAAATGAAAACACACAAAAGAAGCAGGGGGAGAAAGCAAAATTATCAAAGCCTACAAAGTGCATGTATGTACATGTACAATGTGGGTCCAACAATATATTCTGGTGAATTTTGTAATAGGCATTGGTATTACATGTAATTCCCAATACTGTCATTGTTTTTTGTTTTTAATGGAAGAAACCATAATTAACATGAAACACATTAATATACCCAATATCTCTTACTGTCTTTAAAACTGACCATATGACATTTTATAAATGGGTAAGTACCTTATTGGGAAGTCCAGCTTTTTTGCACCTAGTGTTTTTAGGCTGCATGAAAAGAAAGTAGTCCAGTCAGTGATTAATTATAGTTATTGTATTCCAAACTAATGTTAAACATTTACAATATGATACGTATGGGATTCAAAGCAAATATATTAGTTCAGTTAGTATATTCAAAACTAATGCAGAACATGTACAATAGGGCACTGTGAGATTCAAGGATGTTAAGTATGGATTTATTTCCAGTTTATTTCTCATTAATATAAAGTACTTTTGGAGGAGTGCAGTGCTATAGGTAGAGAAAACTTGTGTTCAAGAAATAAAGTACGACTATGATATATTTTTATTCAAAGAAGCTCCACCATCAGAATTATAACTAAGAGATAAACATGAGAGGTTTCACCCAGATGTCATGAAAGAGATTGGTAAGACAACAGAAAGGTAAAGAAGAACAAGTGAACATTAACATGAAGTTGTGCATTATTAAGGTTAAGTTAAGCCTGGTTTACACTAACAGGTCGTTTTTGTTCCACTGTATTTCCATTGGGAGAAAAGACCGCTGGAAGTCTTAACATGATTTTGGTCTTGATAGGTCTTTTCTAAAATCTGAAAATATCTTGTTGAGTCCCGTGATGTCCGATGGAGTCTGCTTCAAAAAGAGTGCTTGACTTTTTGTGGAAAGACCTGGACTTCCATTCTTTCACCAGTCTTCATCAGACTTTTTTTTTAAAAAACATGATATTTCCATGGCAGCAGAGGCCCTCATACATGACATCCCAGGACCCAAGGAGACTCAATTGGGCTCGACATGACTCCATCGAAATAATAATAAAAAAAGGACTTCAAGAGGACTTAAAACATTGGGAAGACAATTGATTCGTGAAGATCTGTCAGTGTAAACCTAGCTTTTGTGTATTCCAAACTAATTATGAGAAATATTGTGATTTTCATTATATGGAGAAGATTTTACATACCATGTTTTTATCTTGGTCTTCCTGTTCTGATGTATTCTTTCTGCGTCTGCTTCTGGGTGTGGAACTGTTTGAAGAGCGGGCAGACTTAGGGGGCACTGGGGATATTGTGTAGGGTGACTTGCCCCGCCCCTGGTCAATATCATGATGGCTTTTACTGTACTCTATCATAGCCACTTGGTCCAACTAAATAATACAATGTTTGTGATAGGACATGTTCATTACATTTCCACACATTTCTGTATATTTTTCCCAAAATTATATCTGTTATATAAATAATAAACAAAAAGAAATCTTTGGAGATGTTTAATTGATATACAATGTTTCCGGAAAGATTCACCACCTATTAAACAAAACAAGTGTTTTAGCAATCTATAATTCCCTGATATAATCATGTAACTACGATGATTTAATCTGGGGTGGCCATAGCAACCACTGGTGATTGTACTCTTCAAACTAGTTACCGAAACGGATCAGTACCAGTGGCAATGCTTATACAAATGGTGAATATTTTGATGTTGTAAATAAAATGAAGTTGAAAATTTCCAAGCAAAAATTGACAAGCAAAGATTCAAAATTTACCTGGTATAAATTTTTTGAATCAATTTCTTCCTCATTTTCATATCTGTTCCGAGATTTGTCACCAGTTTCATCCACAGGGTAGCCATTGGCATCTATGTATATTACTCTGGGACTATACTCCTAAAATAGGAAAATGTATCAACTTTAATAATTTGTTTTGTAGGCAAGTGTGTTTTGTATAAAAATGAGGCCACTAGTATTTTGATGAACCCATTATGTTTTATAGAGGCCAGTGTGTTTTATATGGTTGAGTCAAGTGAGGTTTATATAGGTTAGATCAAGGGGAGAGATAGGGCCAATGAATGTGGCATGGGCAAAGCAGATGTGTAGTAGGTGAGGTTTATAGGTGAGATCAGTGGCAAGGAGAGAGGGAGAGAGAGGGCCTGCAATATATGTGGCATGGGCAAAGCAGATGTGTAGTAGGTGAGGTTTATATAGCAATAGGTGAGATCAATGGCAAGGGGAGAGAGGGCCTGCAATATATGTGGCATGGGCAAAGCAGATGTGTAGTAGGTGAGGTTTATATAGGTGAGATCAATGGCAAGGGGAGAGAGAGGGCCTGCAATATATGTGGCATGGGCAAAGCAGATGTGTAGTAGGTGAGGTTTATAGGTGAGATCAGTGGCAAGGAGAGAGGGAGAGAGAGGGCCTGCAATATATGTGGCATGGGCAAAGCAGATGTGTAGTAGGTGAGGTTTATATAGCAATAGGTGAGATCAATGGCAAGGGGAGAGAGAGGGCCTGCAATATATGTGGCATGGGCAAAGCAGATGTGTAGTAGGTGAGGTTTATAGGTGAGATCAGTGGCAAGGAGAGAGGGAGAGAGAGGGCCTGCAATATATGTGGCATGGGCAAAGCAGATGTGTAGTAGGTGAGGTTTATATAGCAATAGGTGAGATCAATGGCAAGGGGAGAGAGAGGGCCTGCAATATATGTGGCATGGGCAAAGCAGATGTGTAGTAGGTGAGGTTTTATATAGGTGAGATCGGTGACAAGAGGAGAGGGCCTGCAATGTATGTGGCATGGGCAAAGCAGATGTGTAGTAGGTGAGGTTTATATAGGTTAGATCAGTGTCAAGGCAAGAGGGCCAATGTATGTGGCATGGGCAAAGCAGATGTGTAGTAGGTGAGGTTTATATAGGTTAGATCAGTGTCAAGGCAAGAGGGCCAATGTATGTGGCATGGGCAAAGCAGATGTGTAGTAGGTGAGGTTTATATGTTTTTAGATAGGCAAGGCCTCTGTTTTAAATTGGGGAGGCCTGTTACAAGTGTCCTCTCAAGGGACACATCTGATTCTTCAAGCAGGGTGTAGGTGGAGAAAATTTTATACAAATGAATACAGTCTACATGTATATATTTGTGAGAATCTAAGTCACAGTGATCTCAGGCTTGGTCCACCAAAATGTGAAGCGATAAAAGGCAACAAGAAGGACAAATATTAAGAGTAAATTGGTGAAATTAAAAATGGTCAGTGACCTATACAATAACATAATATATTTCATTTAAAGGCCCCGTATAAAGTTTAAACCACTTTGGCTTATATTGTAGTCTTACCCAATGTTATCAAAGTGTGATATGTGAAACTTTTTTTTTAAATTTCAAAAAGTGTTTTTTGATAGACTTTTTGTTCCAAAATTTGTGAATTTATTTAAAAACAACTTTTAGAGGTCACTCATATCTTTTAATTAGCCATAATTCATACCAATGCATAGCAGTCATCCTCCCATGTTTTTTGCCGAAAAAATTAAGAAAATCGGTTCATAAATAAGCGAGAAATGAACTTATAAGTGCATGAAAATGGTTCTGAGAAAAATGTAATACAAAATTTTAGTTCGCATAGAAACCAATGGTACAATGATATCTAAAACATTATTTATTCTTCCTTTTAACCTGGTTAGACAATCAACATTGGTTTTTTATGAAAGTCTAGCATATTTAGAAAAGATTGACATCGAAAAAAAAATTTCAATTTTTTTCAAAAAGTTTTTGTTACCTTAGTGACATCACTAATGTTTCAAAATATTTTTGATATGCTAAAACATTGAAGTGGCCCATTAAATATGGCATTTTATTATTGAAATAGTGTGTCCTTTGTTCAATCTTTGCATTGGTGTTAAAAAAATAATCTTTTTTGAAATGCATTAAGAAATATTTGATGATTAAGAAATTTGAATATTTGAGAAATGAAATGCTCACAACTTTTTTTTCAAAAATAATTTTTTTTTCAAAAATCTCTAAAATCACTTTTTAAGTCCTGACAAATAGTAAATGAATGATAAGAAAATATTTTGAAACTTTAGACGGGGACTTTAATAGTTTCACTGGTCAAAATATAAGCAGATTTGGGGAAAAGATGAATATTTTTTAAAAATTCAAAACTCAGCAGCCCATTCGGTACATGTATTGAGTAAAAAGGATGTGATGGCATAGCTTTTATGCCTTATCTTTTAAAATGCATTGATCTGAACTAAGCAAGACATTGTTATAACATGTATTGCAAAATAGAACTTGACCTTCCTCAAAAACAATCCAAAATTAACATCACTCGAGATATGAAATCTTCATATTGCACTTTAAAGCTGTTATCAAAATTGAGGAGGTTGTTTTATGTTACGGAATAATATTATTATTACTTAGCGACAAACTAAATCTAATACTATAGAGCTATTGATAAGTATTAAAGTAGTAACCCTTGAGACTTAATCAATATTTACTTTAGTCTGGAATACACTGATTTACCTTGACTAAAAAAGAATAACAAGAAAGACATAGTGCTTAATTGTGATAGAAATATGAACATACAGAATGTAATAAACATGGCATTCATCACCTAATTGCAATTACAACAGTGTAATTGTTTGTTGTAAACGCCAAATACCAAATGTCAGTCATAAAACGGTGGCTGTAACAATCAACATGTCAGTGTCACAGCTTCTTAGTGTTGGTGACATACACGTAGACATCAATTTAAAATATCTTACCTCATCATCATTTCTCTTCCCTTTCATGCGTGACTTTGGTCGGCCGTAATCTCCAGAGGATGACATTTCATCAGAGATTGAGGACCTTTGCGAGCGCATCATACGGGACTGAGGGGCACTGGATGGCCGATCACCTGATCCCCGGCCAACTCTACTTGATGGAACAGATGATGGACGTTCACTCTTGGTACGAGATCCCCTAGGGGATAAATATGGCAGGATATCCTCATCACCTTTCCTGGCTCTCTCTGCCTGTAAACATAACTCTGTTTTATAGAGGTTGTTTTATGTTCTTTTACTATTCTCATAATGGGAGGCGGGGGGGGGGGGGGGTGCAGTAAAGATGGTAATATTTCATGTTTTAGACCAATATTTCATCATCCATATTTTTGGGGGGCTTCATGTTCCTTCAAATTTGATATCTTTACACTATATTTTCCATTCACCATACATGTATATTTCATACTATACTACTTTTAATGAATAACAGAGATATAGTTTACGTAAAATAAAACAATAAACAAGTGGTTAGATAACATATACTTATATTGTTGAAAATGCCAGAATTCATTTTTGATTATGAATGAATGAACAGATTTCATACAATAGTAACACTTTATCCATAATTTATATCTTATCTTTTTGACACATAAGTTTTCACATGCAATACTGGAATAGAATAAAAGCTGTCATGCAATTTGAGTCCATGCAAACATTTTTGAAATGCATCAATTTCTGCCCATCACCCATAATCAAATTCCTAAGATAATTCATTAATGTCCCATAGAGTGCCATGCAACAAGCTTATTTTGTGTCTAATACTTATATGTTGTGAAAATCCTTACAAGACACGTGAAGAACCTTTGAATCAGTGATAATATTAAATATGTTATCATGAGAAAACTAAATGAATTGTCAGGGCAGTCTAAAAATTCAATTTCTTCATCAGGGCTGTAGCCAAGGGGGGGGGGGGTCCGTTGGCCAAAAGTTGTTTCAAAATCTTGCAGTTTGTCATGATGCAACCAAATTATCATTTTTCATTCATTGACTGTGTGAAGCCAGAGATTAAGATGTAAAATGCAAATAGAGTAGAGTTTATACAGTGGATTTTCTCTGAAAAGACCGTAGTATACTTTATCTCTGTGATATATGGTCCACAATCATGCATTAATTACAATAGTCCAGTAGTCTTCGGTGTAGTTTATTTCTTGAAATACACCATGCAAAATTTATCGACACAGATAAAAATTGTGAGCAGTGAATGAATATATGACATGATACCCAACTGATGTGAAAATTGTGATGAAATATGCGCCTTACTGGGTAAGTTTCTAGATTCCCAGAAACCATGGTTTGAGTAGGCATATGACGATAAGGAGGAATGCCATATGGGACATCAGAAAAATATTCTCGATGTTTCCAAGGATTTCTTTCACTCTCTTTCTTGTCTTGGTGTTTCTCCTTTCAGAAGAAAATTGAGAATTATTTGCAGATATCCATCAATCATTTTGATAAACTAAAATACATGTATTACTGAAAAGCTAGCCAGTTGCCATTACCTAGTAGAGTCTACCTCTATATGTTGATATAAATGAATGGTAATTATTAGATTTAATAAGGTAAGTTCATAATCAATACATCTCATGGAACACAATATAATGATATCTCAAGCAATCTTGTATGGCAGCTGACTGTATTGGCAGCCATACTTTGGTATAACATTCTCAATTCTGGTGGAATATTTCTGAATGTTGCTTTGTAGAGAGTGTCCAGTGGAACAAACAGTACTAACATATCTTACATTAATTAAGTTCAAATTCTGGTAATTTTTATTCTGTTTATTAGCAATCAAGTGAAAAGGTGAAGTTCTAGGACAAGAACTCCAAAATGGCCACAAAAGAACTTATCCATCATGAACAAAAACATATTAGTTTCATACCAAGAACCATCCCTGAAAATTTCAATTTGATCCATTCCTTATATTCTATTAGCATGCAAGGAAATATATTTAGTTGTTTTACTGCATTATTAAATATACAATTAAGCCACCACAAAATTTATATCATTTACTAATTGCAGGGAGGGCAATATGGAAATTCCCTAACAAAGCATGACAACAAAATGATAATATACACATGAAGGCCTTAAGAGGTTGATATAGGTCAGATTAATATGGGCATTAATGGTTTTATACTTCGTTACTATGCCAAATATCATAAGACTAATATATGTTTTGTATGCAACTTTGATTCATCATGCTTTGCAAGGAGAGGGAGAAAGACTGTGACTACATGTACACTCTACCCAACCATAACCGAGAATTGCAAGCAGTCTTAATTATATGCCATATATGGTCACATACAGTGTGACTAGATTTGATTGGCTCACTACCAATCTCCCTGGCAACTTGATCAAACAAAATGGCAAACTCCCCTCTGGATAAAGAAACTAGGGGAAGCCGACTCCTCTCCCTTCGTAGTGATTCATAAATCTGAAGAAAATATTAAACATCTAATTTTTTTTAGAAATAAAACTCTCCTCCTTTTGAACTGAAAGGAATTTTATTCTTATTCTTCCTATCATTGTCAAGGATTCAATGACACATTATGCTGTTGAGACCAGATACAATGGGCATTGAGAATATACCTATGCCAATGAGCCTAATCCTAATCAGATCTTGGCAAAATACATGTAGCCTGTTTGTAGATTTGTAAAAATCTAAAGTTGAGTAGGTTTGAAAAAGTATGATTAAAACATTTGATAAGTGTACATTTTAAAAAAAAAACAATGCCTGATATTTTGACCAATGGTCAAAGTAGCATTTTTGAAAAATGCATTTCTAAAACATCTTTTAATTCACGATTGCTTACCCTTATTCGTCGAACCAGCTCAATTTTTCCAATTTCTTCAAGTTTCTTTTTAATTTGTCCTTGTCTAACCCTTTCCATATCCAAGGTTTTGTGTACAATGGCCTGAGACAGTAGATCCCTGACATGTTTCTTGTGTTCCTTACGGGCCATATTTAACCTGTATGTGGTCTCTGTTACAATTGCTCCTTTCTTTGAAATCTGGAGTTCAAATAGAAAACAAGCAATAACTTTTGTGTTAATCAAGGGCTATATTCTCATTCATTTTAATATCAAAACTTTACATTAATAGTGCCAACAAATGATAATTGTTTCATGTTTATCATATTCAAAATTATACTTGTATACTAGCTGGTAAATCATGCATAAAATAACTTACCAGTCCTGATTTTCGAAGATGACGCCTCTTTTTATTGTCACTAAAATATCCAGCCAGGTTTGGGTCACACAAGCTGTTATATGTGGACAAGGGACTACAAAGCAAGAGTTCAATATTTAGTTCATTAGTTAAAATATTGAGAAATTGATTAAGATGCACATGGTATTTTGAATATAACGAGCAGTATTGCTACCTGTTATACTGCAGGGATTTGCTTCATGAAGCATTTTGATAAAAAGCTTCATAATGAAGGATTTTTGATACATCTCTACCTTATTTTGATCCTTCAACAGTCTGTTGTTGTAGTAAATCAATGTTCTATCAGTTAACAAAACTTTTGAATTTGGATTGCAGCCATTTTTGGTCTCGCGAGATCTCTTGACTTTCGAAAGTAAATATTTGCTACAAAATAACTCGCGTTAGCTAAATATGAATAGTCACATGATCCTTTAGCGGCGATGCCCATGTGCCTGTAAAGGACAATGCGCATGTGCACACATACGCAAAAAGTAAAAAATGGTGCGAACCAGATCTGGAATTTCTCTACTTTAACTGCAAATTACACAACAAGTAGGACTTATTGTCACCACGCGTCATAAAAAGGGCAAGTTACATTCAATTATCTTCTTAAATACCGTTAACTTATTCCAGCGCGCCTGCTGGAAGTTGGAGTAAACCACTTCACGAGACGGTATATTTTAAAGGGTGACGCATATCGTTTAGCAAATCGAACGCTCGTTTCTGGTGTTGCTCACCGTTTAGTATAAAGGCCCGATCCCGGAATAATACTCAAGGGTTCACAGGTTCGAGCTCGTTGTCTCAACACCTCTAACTGTTATATAGCATAAGTATATTATAGATCGTCACACATTTATGAAAGGGTGATTTTTATTTTGACAAATCAATTCCACATTTATGGGTGAAGTTTCAGGATCTTCTATTTGTGTATAATAAGGAAAAATTGGCATCTAAATTCCCCATAACGTAATAGCACACAGCTTGGCATATGAAATATCCTACAAATGAAACAAAGCAAGACAAACCGGTTTCTAATACAAGAATTTATATTGGCTGTTGTACATGTATTATTTGAACGCAATCACTCTTTGGATAACGTTTTCAAAATCATTATAAACGGATTACTTTATCTCAAAGACAATTTCAATAAACTGGATTTTACAGAACTCCCCTTATTTCTTAAAAATGGACTGATCCAGTTGATTCGCCTGGAGCCGCCATATTGTTTTTATACGGGATGCTAATCGGAACCCTTTAACGGTGTGTCAGCTGCCTTTTTAGTTCAACGTCGTTAAACTCAATAACGGCGTTCTTTATTATTAGGAATTTTCTTGGGGCCATTATTGAGTTTAACCTCCTTACTATTCTTTCCTTTGATGCAAGTTCTGAATCCATCGAAACCATTTTTCCGCGATAACGTGCAACTGATACTTGACAATAATATAAAAACACATAACATCAAGCGATTTAACACAATATTTTTGTGTTAAATGTTCATTTATACGAGTAAAATGAGGCTACACTTACCAATCTCTAAAGTGACATTCCGCATGTCCGTCATTGTGTCTGTTCGTCTGAGTGTCCCGGATCGTAAAATTAAACTACCAGCGAAACGAAATTGTTGTCAAATAGATTGATAATTATTATCGAGATTACTCGGGATAAAAAGATCAATTTTGAGGATAACAGGTATCTTTGATTAATTCATATAGCGCGTGTATACACGCAAAATAGTTATTAATTGCAAACCCACTGTTCGTTAATGCAGTGCCGTGATGACGGTTAATTCCTGAAACGATTTGCAATTTCGATATTACCGAAACTGACCGACATTTTCGTCATTTCCAAACCTGTCTCCAATATTTTCGTAATTATGCATCAATAAGGTCTAAGGGGGATACGGGACGGGGTGTATGTGTTTATAAGGTATGTATGCATGTTTGAATCACATTCTTTGTGTAATATTGCCATGTTTTCAGGGTTTAATTTGTTCCGCTTGTCGAAACCTGCTGAACGATTAAATTAACGCATCAAAGGCAAAATGGTCATGGAGGTTAGACCTAGCCGGGCCATAACACATGTCAGATAAGAAACGAGGCCCGGGCTAGGTCTAATGTTGTTGGACTACTGCCTTTTGAGCCAGCTGTGTTCAGTAAGGCTAGAGACTCGAGTAAGCTTGTTTATGGCACAATCGCATCCCCCTGACTGAAAACCAAGTTCTTTTGGCGATCACCATGGTATAAGAGGTATAAAGATGTCATTAAGCCATTAATACATACTATTCTTCTTTTTACAGCGTAGCACTTTGAATTTCAAATTGTATTTGCAGTTTGATTAAAAAAAATTCCAATATTTTCTGAAGAAAAAGTAACTTTGCTTGAAAAGTAGGTACTTACCCTGGGTCTGCGTGACTCATCTTGACGTAGTATGAAACAACAACAGTATCACTTCTTCAAATGTATAACAGACTAAAATAAAAGTGAAAAGTCGTGATTTACAAGGAACAATTTAGAGATTTTTCCAGCATCTTTATCAAAACAACCTGTCGTCTAGCATATCACGTGACTAAATATCAACTACGATAAGGCACAAAAGTTTTAGAATTATAAAAACACCTCTCTACTTCCGGGTCATATAGGATAGATGGTGCTGACTGTGTTCCGGGTTACACCTTCAAAAAAAGTACAGACAATAATATTACTCATTTTACGTTATATTTAGCAATGATAAGGGTAGAAAGGATTACATTATAAAAGTATTCATAAGTAAGTGTAGACACGTCGGCTTTTTGAACCCCACACTATTTCAGTTGTGAATAAACCACTGAATGTTTTTTTACGACTGAGAAGTGGGTGATAATAGAGAGATTCGCTCATAAGTGATAGTATAACTTACGTTTCCTATAGCTATACGTAAAAGTAGACATGAATTGACATTTTTGTTTTGCAACAAAGAATACTTATGTACAATTCATGGGGGTAATCAAGGATTGACTCCCAGAGTGCAACATTGATATTCTGTCCCATATATGGATAATTACTGTATCTTTTTGGATTGTCGATTTGAATCATTTAGATTGCAGATTTTGAATTTATAGTCAGTTATATAATGTCAGAAAATGACAACATCATGTGGCCTGACAGTCAACATGTACATGGGCCAAGCGGAAAGATTCCTTCTAATTTTGAAATGAGTTGAAACCAAACCATAGGTCTATTTTTAAATATAAATGGTTAAAATCATATTCTAATAAAATTCTATCACTGTTAAATTACGAGATATTTCATATCTGCCTTAAATTCAGCTTATCAGCCTTTTGCAGATTATCATGGACTCTAATTGAAAGCCCATGAGATTATTCAAGTAGACACTGTGATCAAATCTAATATCATTTTTTCATCTTCGATAGTATCATGGGCTCTATCAGATGGGTATGCAACGAGCCATTGGCGCCGTGTTAAATGGTGGCCTCGGCTTGGCGAAGAACCGGAAGTTGACGCAATGGGGAAAAAATAATGTCCGAAGTTGAAGCCTCGTAGATTCTACTCTTATTTCCGCAATGAAACCCAACTAACCTTCACAAATATTGGTAAGACATTTGACATTTACTTCATTTTAGTGTAGAACTTGTTTAATAGGTATCAAATTGCCTAAATTGGTCACGATATTGATTTACATTGTGAAAATCGAAATCCACCATTATTTTTTTGCTCGTCAATTTTCTTCATTTCAACACTGAATTTCAGGACTTTGAACCTATTCATGACACCTTTGAGTACACATTTATTCACAAAGTTAGGCTTAATATGTTGAGTCATCGTTGTTTATGAAAAAAACGTGACAAAAGTACACCCCTTTTTGTATCCAATTTTCAATCCACTGTGGCTATAATTAACAAATTTTCTCATTTTGTCAAGTTGTTCAGTTTTGATATGAAACATGACTGGTATAAAGTTTATACACCATTAGAAAGCTCAATTTGTCTCCTATCTGATGATGTGACTGTTTCTTGGGGAAAAGTAGTATATTTTCTGTAATGGCTTGTTAAAAATGAGACAAAATGACATTTCGGTCCATGTGAAACCTGTAGCGACGACTGAATTTTTTGACTTTTGTCAAGTTGTTCAGTTTTGATATGAAACATGACTGGTATAAAGTTTATACACCATTGTAAAGCCCAATTTGTCTCCTATCTGATGATGTGACTGTTACTTGGGGAAAAGTAGTATATAATCTGTAATGGCTTGTTAAAAATGACACAAAATACCATTTCGGTCCATGTGAAACCTGAAGCGACGAATGAATTTTCTGACTTTTGTCAAGTTGTTCAGTTTTGATATGAAGCATGACTGGTATAAAGTTTATACACCATTATAAAGCCCAATTTGTCTCCTATCTGATGATGTGACTGTTACTTGGGGAAAAGTAGTATATAATCTGTAATGGCTTGTTAAAAATGAGACAAATGCCATTTCGGTCCATGTGAAACATGAAGCGACGAATGAATTTTCTGACTTTTGTCAAGTTGTTCAGTTTTGATATGAAGCATGACTGGTATAAAGTTTATACACCATTATAAAGCCCAATTTGTCTCCTATCTGATGATGTGACTGTTACTTGGGGAAAAGTAGTATATTTTCTGTGATGGCTTGTTAAAAATGACACAGAATGCCATTTCCATCTCCGTTGGAACCGTCACAATGCTTACATTTTCTCATTTTGTCAAATTGTTCAGTTTTGATATAAAACATGACTGGTATAAAGTTTATACACCATTAGAAATCCCAATTTCTCCCCTATCTGATGATGTGACTGTTACTTGGGGAAAAGTAGTATATTTTCTGTGATGGCTTGTTAAAAATGAGACAAAATGCCATTTCGGTCCATGTGAAACCTGTAGCGCCGAATGAATTTTCTGACTTTTGTCAAGTTGTTCAGTTTTGATATTAAACATGACTGGTATAAAGTTGATACACCATTATAAAGCCCAATTTGTCTCCTATCTGATGATGTGACTGTTACTTGGGGAAAAGTAGTATATTTTCTGAATTGGCTTGTTAAGAATGACACAAAATACCATTTCGGTCCATGTGAAACCTGTAGCGTTGAATGAATTTTCTGACTTTTGTCAAGTTGTTCAGTTTAAATGAGAAACATGACTGGTATGAAGTTAATACACCATTCCAAAGCCCAATTTCTCTCCTATCTGATGATGTGACTGTTACTTGGGGAAAAGTAGTATATTTTCTGAATTGGCTTGTTAAGAATGACACAAAATACCATTTCGGTCCATGTGAAACCTGTAGCGACAAATGAATTTTCTGACTTTTGTCAAGTTGTTCAGTTTAAATGAGAAACATGATTGGTATGAAGTTAATACACCATTCCAAAGCCCTGTTTGTCTCCTATCTGATGATCTTACTCTAATCTTGAAGAAATTAGTATATTTTCTGAAATGGCTTGTTAAAAATGACACAAAATGCCATTTCCATCTCCGTGGGAACTGTCACAATGACTACATTTTCTCATTTTGTCAAATTGTTCAGTTTTGATATGAAACATGACTGGTATAAAGTTTATACACCATTAGAAAGCCAAATTTCTCTCCTATCTGATGATGTGACTGTTACTTGGGGAAAAGTAGTATATTTTCTGAAATGGCTTGTTACAAATGACACAAAATGCCATTTCGGTCCATGTGAAATCTGTAGCGACGACTGAATTTTCTGACTTTTGTCAAGTTGTTCAGTTTAAATGGGAAACATGACTGGTATAAAGTTTATACACCATTTTAAAGCCCTAATTGTGCCCTATCTGATGATGTGACTGTTACTTGGGGGAAAGAAGTATATTTTCTATAATGGCTTGTTATAATTGACACAAAATGCCATTTCCATTTCCATGACAACTGTCGAGACAAGTACTAGTAATTAAGTCTTTGTTGATTTGTTCAGCTTGGATAGTCAACATGACTGGTAGCAAGTTTATACACCATTTTAAAGCCTTCTTTGTCTCCTATCTGATGATCTTACTCTTATTTGAGAGAAATTAGAAAATTTTCTGAACTGGCTTGTGAAAATGACACAAAATCCCATTTCCATATATGTGAAAACTGTCACGACGACTACATTTTTTGACTTTTTCAATTTGTTCCATTTTAATAGTCAACATGACTGGTAGCAAGTTTATACACCATTTTAAAGTCATCTTTGTCTCCTATCTGATGATCTTACTCTTATTTGAGAGAAATTAGTAAATTTTCTGAATTGGCTTGTTAAAAATGACACAAAATCCCATTTCCATATCCGGGAAAACTGTCGCGATGACTTAATTTTATGACTTTTTCAATTTGTTCCATTTTAATAGGAAACATGACTGGTTTAAAGTTTATACACCATTTTAAAGCCCTTTTTGTGTCCTATCTGATGGTCTTACTTTTATTTGGGAGAAATTAGTAAATTGTCTGAACTGGCTTGTTAAAAATGACACAAATCCCATTTCAGCCAACGTGAAACCTGTCTTGATGACTAATTTTAATGACTTTTGTCAAATTGATCTGTTTTAATAGGAGACATGACTGGTATATAGTTTATAAACCATTTTAAAGCCCTCTTTGTCCCTTATCTGATGATGTTACTCTTATTCATGTTTTTTGGGAGAAATTAGTTTATTTTCTGTAGTGACTTGTAAAAATGACACAATTGTATAGTGTGTAATTGATATAGAAAATGAGCATGCATGTATTTTCTAATACTAATGCTGTAATGAAACTTATTTTTCAGTAATGATTGCATCTTTGAAAGTTGGATTAGACTGCTACAGGGGAATGCCCATATTTTAGAGCTGCATCTTGCAGTCCTGGTCTGCTATAATTAGGTACATTTCTAAGTAGTCTAGTTCTCCATGTATAACTTCAAACTGAAATGGCATTTCTTGGAATCCTGAGTCTTATAATGCCTAAAAACAGTAATATAATATAAAGAACTAGTAAAGTGGTGATCACAAGGAATTACCACAGTATTGTTTTTAAACAGAAAGTAACAGGAACATCCTTTAAAAGAACACAAAAATCATGAATTGCTTGATATTGAATAAGATGAACAAAAAATTGAAGATGTTTTTCTTTAATTTTCTTAAACCCTGCATAACTTTAATGCTTTTAAATTGTTTTCAGGTCACAGCACATTCTGCACTCATTCCTATCAGCTTCATATCAGCATCTACCTGAAACACATAGGATGTTTGTGGATTAAAAACATGTCACCAAGAATCTTATACTAGGACTTCAAAACAACATTATTTAAAAATGTGATAGATCTTGTCAAAACGATAGTATCTTAATTACATTGAGTATAAACTGATAAAGACAGCCTAAGCAAATGTGCTTTTTACATTCTACAGGGACTTAAATTAAGCCACCTCAAGAAGGTACAAGATTTGATGCTACCAACCTTGCCCCTCACAGTGTGATCTTTGTGTAGTATCAGTTGTATTTGATGACAATTGTAGTCTTAAAATGAAATAAATGATTGATGATTTCTCTGATAAGTACATGTCTTGTGTCAGTGCTATCCAGTGAGCCTTTTTTGGCATTACTTGGCCTCCTTTTTAGATTAAAAGACCAAATTATCAAAAGATTGGCATTAAATTAAAAAAAAATTTGGGCCCAAATATCAGAGATTACAGTGGTGGTTGTCTATAAAATTATCCCAAAGCAGGTCCATAGCCAGGATTTGCCAGGGGTTCATTTTTTGAATAATTCAATCCAGGGGGTTCACTTTTGAGAATTTTGGCCCAAAAATGCCCAGAATTACTTAAAAAGTGCTTAGAATGTTGAAAAACTGCATGAATTTGAAGCCGGGGGGGGGGGGGTGACACTAAATGTGGACACTGCCCAGGCAAGGAGAAGGAGTCGAACTCCCCCCCCCGCCGAAAATTATTGCAAATTCATGCACTTTTTCACCACTTTGAGCACTTTTCAAGTTAATAGTCCAAAGTTGTCAATAGGGAACCCCCCTGGAACACTTAGAAAGTGAACCCCCCTTAGCAAAGCCTGGCTACGGCCCGCTACCCGTTGATGAGATATAGGGTAAACTTTTATCATGGTCAGCTATGAGAATCACATCCCCAGTTTCCAACCTGTCCAATTCATCCATTCCCGGGAAAATACGTCATAACGCACTAGACGAAAATGCGAATAATGAATATCGTGAAAACGAACTGACGGCAAACGAAAATTCCGCTCGATAATGTACGTGATTAACCATATTCTATGGCCACTGAGTGCAAGAATTGGCTAGAGACTCGAGTAATACGTGATTATGTTTTTTAGCATAAATATTATCATCATACGTTATTAAACTTAATGATTTATAACAATAACATGATTGTTGTGGACTTAGGCCTATTTTTGTGTTTTTCTTTCGCTTTGACATTATTTGAAAGCTAGAATTCGCAACATATGTTGCTAAAATTAGAAGACATGATTAATTTTTCTTGGATTTGCGATTTTTCGTGATCTGCGCATGCGCAAGATAGGTGGCGCAATAGTACTAATCTCCATTTTGAAGATTTTTGAAGAGCTCCTACAGCCATTCCGCGGCCACCATTCTATCCGTTTCACACCCAGGTGGTAGAGCCCATGATAGTATTGGATAGTAAAATGACTTTATGTGATTCCAGACTAATAATTATATCTAAATTCATGCACAGCATTTTATAATCGATGGCTACTTATAATTAACATGTAGGTGTACAGAGCTTCAAATTATGACATAGTACACACAATTATAAGTTATAAAGATAAGGGATTTAAAAACTCAAATTGATAATAGAGCACCACTCATAAAAATGTGTAACCTTATTTTCTTGTTTTTTTTCAGAAGAAATGCTACAGATGGGAAATCAGGAAACAATAATGAAGACCACAAATGGCATACTGCATAAATATCAAACTTTGTGCACCTGGATGCATTCATTGGATAGAAATATTTCCCTTTGTGCAAGTATGCACATGCCAAATAAAATACCTAAAATATATTTATTCCATCAAACAAATGGTGCTAAACCTTCTTGGGTTCAACAAGGCATAATTATACAGGACCTCAAAGATCTTAAGATCAGAACAGTCAAGAGCACATCCAGACGACCTGAACATAAACAAGACGCACAATCGTTTTACACAATTACTGCGAATGCTTATACAAATAAACCAAGAGTGGTGAAAATACAAAGAGAACTTTATCAGAAGGCTGTACAACTTTTGAACTTGAAAAGTATTTCTAATCCACAATCAAAATGTGTTTTAGACCTTGGATGTGGTATTGGAATTTGCAGCCACTATTTCTGCCACTTGTCTAATCATTGCAATTGTGCTGTAATAGGAGTTGATATAAGTCAAGAAATGCTCAACCAAACCAAACAATCTGTCAATAATGGATATATCAGCCTTCTCCTCAATGACATAGGTCAGGGGTTACCATTCAAAGCAAAGTCAGTAGACGCAGCTATCAGTATATCAACTTTACAATGGATAATGAGCTCTGGATATACAATGAAACTGAACATGTTTTTTAAAAGCCTTGGCCAATGTTTAACACAGGGTGGAAGGGCAGTGATACAGTTTTATCCAAATAACTCCCATGAAGTTGAAGAATTGATTAAAACTGTCTCCAAGTATTTTAATGGAGTTCTTCTTGCAGACTTTCCCCACAATGACGATGCTGTGAAGTTGTTCTTGTGTTTAGAAAATCCGGGTTGAGTGTCAAAAATGACTTTGCACAACAGCCCCAGCTTTTGGCTTTGGCCTAATCTTTGAATAGAATCAAGCGATTTGTCCGCAAACTGTAGATTTTCTTAAACATATGATACTGACACGTGTTTATAATAAAAATGTGAAAATGTGCCTACAAATTGAAATCGTACCTTCTGCTTTCCAAGACATTTTCTTTCTGAAACAGATCTGGTTCAGTTACTGGTTTGAAGAGTGAACAAGTGAATTTTAAAATGGTTTTGATGCGGAGAAGGCAATTTTATTCACACCCGGTGATCGTGTTTAGACGATTGTTGCCTGATTTATAGCAAAAACATGTGACTTTCGCACGTTGGTGACGATATGCGTTAAGCCCAAGACACTGCTACTACCCTATACACTGATACTCTCTTGAAAGCCCATGCTTCAACTTGTGAAATAAGGAAAAAAGAAAAATCGTACCTTCGAGCATGGGCTTTCAACTAATTGAAAGCCCATGCTTCGAGATTCCGACATTTTGTTACCGGAACGCCGGTAACTAGTTTGAAGAGTGCAGTACTAGAGAAGATGAGCGTGAAATTATTATTATTTTCATCCTCAGTTTTGTTGAATTGTAAGACTGACAATTATAAATAAATGAATAAATAAACTTTATACTAATTTAAATAGTATTAGGTCTCTTCCTCGTTTATTTCCAATTGACAGGTTACTACAGTAATTAGTTGGATAGTTAGAAATCAATTCCCTCGCTTTGGAAAAAAGAGGCCTCTCTGTTCAAATAATGTTACTGCAACGTCCAAATACAGCACTAAAATCAATACATACACTCCCCTCCATAAGTTTGGCAACCACACGTTTCAATTTGATAGCACGTCAAAGCCTATTAATGTTTGAATCATTATTTTGTTCCACAACTGATCGGAAGTTCGAACTGTAATTTGAATTTTATATCGCTAAACATTAACAAGCTTTCAATAAATGCAGAACTTATGGTGGGAGTGTATAAAGTAAAAACATGCAAGTGATGCTATTCTCAGGAAGTATTGATATCGTCCTACGATATTCCCCTACCAGAGGCGTGGTCAGGCATGAAACATTCGAGGCAACTATCTCACTAAAGTTTTACAGAAAAAGCCATTATATTTCGGATGTTTTTTCAACTTCAACTCGGCTTCAACTTTTGAAGTGAGATACCCCTACGCCCCTGGCAAGAGTAACATTAGCATGAATTTTGAAAGTATTACTTGCAACATTTTTCACTCAATATCCTCTTTAATTCTTTGTTGTAGTCAATAAGTATGTCACGGTACGGGTAGTTTCCTTAAACAAAGAATATAATTTATTTTAAACATTTACATATTCGCATTTCTCTGATGCAGGTATGGCATCACACCGTCGTGTCAGACATGCCTTGATTTTGTTCTAATTTGTATGTGCCTTCGTTGAGATATGAGATCGAGAGGTTGTGTTGTCCTCGAAACAGTAGTACTAATAGTAGTTGAAAATAGGACGCAATGGTTGGCAATTCTACCCGAAATGACCAGAGATGATGTACACGTAAACGTTAAATGAAAACGTAAAATACAGGCGCAAAATGTACGTGGTAAAGTAAAGTGGCGTTGAGACGTAATGTTATCACACCAAGGTGCACAGGAGTTTCTGTGAATTGCCGACGAATTTGCCGTTTCATAGATAGCGACATCGTATGTTTCCATATCGTACAAAAGTGAAGAGAACTTTTACACGATATGAATGTATATGGATCGGTTTCCGCCGTGTAAAATACAAGAAAGCTACAAAAAATGATATGAATATATAAAGCTTGATCATACTTAATGCCTTACATTTCAAACCAATGTTGCGTATCGATGATGTCACTATTATAATTTTGGCTATGGCAAGCATGCTCGTCAGTTGTCCACGAGACAACTCGTATAGCAAGAAGCAAACACAAACGAAGAGAATAGTTTTAATCCTAGATAATCCTGCCAACTCCAGTTTGCACATTTACATATTCCCATCTAATGCAGGTACAGCCTCATGCTCAAGCGTCAATATGCTGAGTTTATTGTACTAGTTTGTTTATGATATGCTTTTTGTGTTTTACGCGGCTGGTGCATCAGATCGAAACAGAGGAAGGCGGTCGCAGAACGCAACGCTTGAGTTGTTGAGCACAATCGTAGGTAAATGCAAATCGGCTGGACATACAAATCCGTTCTTGATTCAAGGGTATTTTTAGTTTTTTGATACAAATCGACCTATCCGAAATACCCATTTTCATCAATTATAAATGTCTATTCGAATTTTCCATTTTCACCGTTGGTTCAACTTAGACGTATTCCAAACGGTGACAGGTCATCTCAACTCCAAGTTAACTCAACCCCAAGTCAACTCAACCCCAGTAAAACTCAACCCCGGTAAAATTCAACCCCAGTAAAACCCAACCCCTTTCATTTCTGCAATGTCTTTAGTTCTCTAGTTTATTTTCTTAATAGATAATCTAGCTTTTTGCATATTTCGAATGATACTTTGTTAAAATTTTTGACAGACAGTCAAACATCTTTTAAAATCAAATTTTATGAAAATACTATTTTGGCAATTAACAATGTTTTGGGGATGAGTTTTACTGGGGCTGAGTTTTACTTGAGTTGACTTGGGGTTGAGATGACCATGAAGCTTCCAAACGAATGCGTGGTGCGTTTATCATGCCCAAATAAAAACGATATAGCCTATATGATAACATATTCAAGGTTATAGTGCAGGTATTAAAGTAAAAACAAAAGAAAACGTCGAAATAGAAATCTAGCTTCATTTTGAAAATCTCTGAAATTCAGAAATGAATAAAAGACGAAAATAGACCCTTGCTAAATTTCCGATTATTTCAGAAGGACTTAAAGCTGAACGATGAGGAATTACGTTACTGAGTATATGTCAGGTATGTATGCCCGAATCAATGGTCAGATGTGGGGCCGCCAAAAAGAATATATTGTACTTGATTTTCAGAGTTTTTAGTTGCCTTTCTATGCAAAAGCGATATTCTTTGAGATATGACTTGAATATGAAAGTCCTGTCAATGGACAATAATTAATTTTGGTGTAAATAAAGGAAGGCGTTTTATAAAATGGTGACGGATTACCCCCCACAGAGGAGAGCGCGTGTCATTAGAACACTTATTAAGATTTGTTGCATGACCTCGGGATTGCAAAATGAAAAAAGCTTTTAAGATTACCAAATGCTCATAAATCTAAGATACCAAGCTTACAATTATTGTTTTGAAAAGTTCTTTGCTTCCTTCTATGTTAATTGCAGTGGTAAGTTTGAATACATGCAATAAATGACACTTATGGATCGTAGTTTTATTCAGTATTTACTGATGAAGTCGATTTTTGTCCGAGGGGGTACTTTAATGTTACTTATAGAATATACGTGTATGCAACCAATGAGCTGGGCTAATGAGGAAACATGATATACAGAGAAAAACACTGTCCGATTTAACCTTTATCGATCACATCAAAGGAATTGTGTCCATCAGTCATTGGCGTAGCTAGGATCGCAATTGTGAGTCGACGCGTGAAGAGGCGAGGTAATAGTAGAGTTTCTACATAATAGATGTCACCATTGTCGTTCTTCGATTTGCTTGGACCAGATGGTCACTTGATTTAATGATTTATGAAAAAGTGTTGGTTGAATCTGTCTGAAACTCAAATGGCTTGCGATGAGATGACCCTGTCAATGTACCTAATGTGATTATTCATGAAATTTCTTGTTGTCAAACGCATAAACCAAGGTTTTAAAGAATTTTTGCATTGCATCAATGGGGGATTTTTTAAAACGCCATGGAAAATGATTTAAATGACGTAACTGTACAAATCAAAGTTATTATTGTGTTAAACCGTTCACTGAATTCAAATATGCTATTAAAAGGAAGAAAAGTTAGTTGTTAGAGGTTAAAAGTGCAAATCTCTTGGCAAATTTCAAACCTATATGGAAACTCCTCTTCTTCCTTTCTTGTGAACAGGCGACGCACTTGTGAAAAGGTGACACAATTGTGAAAAGGCGAGGCAATTGTGAATAGTTGAGGCGAAATCCTAAAAATCGTCAGAAGAAATATATTTTTGTAAAATTTTGGATAAATGTTCAAATTGTTCATCGGGTTATACTCACGGTATAATCGGAATACTAACATGGTCTCATCGGGTCCTATAGACTCACACTCATGGTTTAATCGGGTCTTTCATTTTCAACTTAGTCTTTCACCGGTGATTTCAATGATATCCAACGTATGGCAGTGAAACAAATGTAATATATTTGCACATATTGTATCTTTGAATCTACTGGAGTAAAGACAGCTATGGTTCTTACTTATTTAAACTGTAAAGCATCATTCGAATATTTAGAAGTTGAATTTAGCGATTGGATAGTAAACGCTGCATTAACTAAAACAATAACTATATCGGTTAGACAAAATTCTGTGTTTTATCTATTTCTCATATTGAGAAATTCGAGATATAAACAGGAGTTTATTAACGTACCTCTTACATTTTCAGACATCTTCGGGTCTTTGCTCGGTGGTAGGTTGTTAAAGCTGGGTCGGGTTTCCCTGCGTGACTCACAACATATTGAAGCATCTTCTGCCATCTTCAGTTCTAACGTTGATTATGGTGCCATCTTTCTGAAGTAATTTTTCAGTAATATTCCAACTCAAATGGATATGTACACTCCCCTCCATAAGTTTGACAACCTTAGCTCCCTCATTGAACTACATGTACGTGTTAAAGTCCCTTCATATTTGAATTTTTATTTACTTAACCTGCGATGAAAATACTTTTAATATTGATGGAAACGTAATTTGAATTAATTTGTAATACCTCCTGAAATTTTCCCAATAGGTCGAAAATTGATGATAAATTTGATGAATTTTTGAAAATCGACATTTCCATGTTAACCAATGGGAAATGGTAGGTTTGCCGCATGTCATATGACAGAATATCCATCCATATGAGTCCTTGCAAAAAATATAAGTTAGGTAGGCAATTGAATTTGCTAACTTTATTTAACAAAAAATTAATACGTTTCTTCGGGTTCGATTCAACAAAGTTATAGGGTTTAAAGTCAATACAATACAAATTTTCAATATAGACAAAACTGGAAGTATACATGCTTATTTTGAAAAAGAGAAACTGTACAGAAATTAAACAATGTAATTAGGCCTATGTATAATGTATATTTGTATATATGTTTTATTCTTGAAATATAGTTTTTACAAAAAAGGGTTTAAAGTCAAAATTATTTTTCAAAATAACTCCCATTGAAATAACACAGGAAAATTATTTTCAATAATGACTTTGAAGCTCTGTAACTTTAGTATTCATGAAGTAAACTAAATACTTAGTGTACAAAAAAGTTAGACAATTCAATTTTCTATATGAAAATATTTTTTGTTGAATCTTTTACTGAATAGATATCCTGATTTCTAATTTGCCCCGAACCCACCATTTCCCATTGGTTTACATGGGAATGACGATTTTCAGAAATTCATCAAATTTATCATCAATTTTCGACCTATTGTAATTGAAGAAAATTTTGAGGCGTTGGAAATAAAGTTGAAGTTACGTTTTCATCAATATTACAAGTATTACAATCATGATACTTGGTGAATCA